ATACACCAACCATAAACCGACCCCATAAACTGACCCCGTAAACCGAGTGAACCCTGATCACATAAACTGACCCCATAAACTGACCCCATACACCGAGTGAAYCCTGACCCCATAAACTGACCCCATAAACTGACCCCATACACTGAGTGAATCCTGATCACATAAACTGACCCCATACACCAAGTGAACCCTGAGCCCATAAACCAACCCGATACACCAACCATAAACCGACCCCATAAACCGAGTGAACCCTGATCACATAAACTGACCCCATAAACTGACCCCATACACCGAGTGAACCCTGATCCCATAAACCAACCCATAAACAGAGCGATCCCCGACCCCATAAACTAACCATAAACCAACCATAAACCGACCCCATAAACTGACCCTATAAACCGAGTGACCCCTGACCCCATAAACTGACCCCATAAACTGACTCCATAACCTGACTCCATAACCCAACCCCATAACCCGAGCCCACAAGTGACCCCGCCGTACCTGGCCGGGGTTGTGGCCGCCCATGGTTGGCTGCCGCGCCCCAAAACTCTGCGCGTGTTTGCTGCTCTGCTCCTTCTTGGCCTCCACGGCTGCATAGTACCTGGGGCAGGTTTAGGGCAGGTTTAGGGCATGCTGGGGTCTGGCTTAGGGCACTTTGGGCCTGGCTTAGGGCACTTTGGGCCTGGTTTAGGGCACTTTGGGCCTGGTTTAGGGCACTTTGGGGCCTGCTTTAGGGCACTTTGGGGCCTGCTTTAGGGCACTTTGGGGTCTGCTTCAGGGCAGGTTTTGGGGCAGCTTTAGAGCAGGTTTAGGGCACTTTGGGGTCTGCTTTAGGGCAGGTTTTGGGGCAGCTTTAGGGATCTGGTTTGGGTCAGTTTTTGGGTCACTTTGGGGTCACTTTAGGCTCAGTTTAGGGTTCTCATCCCTGGGTGCAGAAGGCCCCGCCTGGGACCATTTTAGGATCACCTTAGGGTCAGTTTTAGAACCTGTTCAAAGTCAGTTCAGGGCCCATTTCAGGCTCAGTTTTAGGATCAGTTTAGGCTCAGTTTAGGCTCAGTTTAGGCTCAGTTTTAGGCTCGGTTTAGGCTCGGTTTTAGGCTCACCCCTGGGTGCTGAAGGCCCCTCCTGGGCCCAGCAGTCGGTGCAGTTGGTGCCGSGTTCGGGCGCTGTTCCCCGTGAACAGGAAATGCTCCCGGGCCCATTTCAGGCTCAGTTTTAGGCTCAGTTTAGGCTCAGTTTTAGGCTGAGTTTAGGCTCGGTTTTAGGCTCACCCCTGGGTGCTGAAGGCCCCTCCTGGGCCCAGCAGTCGGTGCAGTTGGTGCCGGGTTCGGG